AGTGAACACCTGTGTATCCCCCCCAGCATTTCCATGGCTTCTGAAACTGCCCCTCCCGATGCCTGCCTCTCTGTTTTCTTCCTTTGTTGAGCTGTTTGCACATTTCGAGCTGTATATCAATGTAATTACACAGAATGTTCTGTCTGTCTAGCACAACATTTTCAGCATAGCTAGTGAGGACCTGTGGAGCCAGTTTCAGTATGGGAAGGGCTTTGCTCACGGGAAGGTTCTGCCGGAGGGTGGGGTTCATACGGCTGCAGAACTTCAGAGGGCATCTCCCCCAAGCCTCTGGCAGATTTCTGGGGCTTAGTTGAGTGCCTCCTCAGATGGCCCGCGACTTCTTTAAAGATGCCGCACGCCCTAAGCTTCAGGAGTTCCCTTTAAGAGCAGTTTCAGGATGGAGTATGACCCAGGAATGAGGGACCGAGGTTGGAGAAGCAGACTGGAAAGACAACTAAATGTCTCCTGCTAGAATTTCTTTACTGCACGTGTCCAGGAGTCATCTAGAACCAGCAATGAGAGCGAACTAACTGTGGCTAGCTAGTCCAGGAAGTCAGTGAAGGCAGTTGGGCACAGTGGGTGTGGAAGAAAAAAAATCACTCCAACAAAGCACCCATTGTTCCTGTTTGTTTCTGTTTTCCCCTGAAGGCCGCATTTTCATCTACGGAGAGCCCAGGGCCCAGTGAAGTCCCTTAGTGTGTGACTGGCTGGAACATAGAAGGCCTTGCAAGTTCGGGAAATGAAGCTGGGCTTGGTGCGCCAGGCACGCTGGAAAACCAGCAAAAGCAAGAAGGCAGCAGTAGAGGCCACTTGCTGGAACTCACCAGCAAAGATTTCAAAATGTCCTGGCAGGTCTCTCCCAAAGGCTGGGAAGCCCTGGCTTGGGGGAACCAGCCACTGCACCCAGGGAGGCAGCCAGGGACAGCAGCAAGGACTTCCCCAGCAGCGAGCAGTCTTTCTGTTCTGCTTGGGAGGATAAGCTTTCCCTAACAGTCAGATGCTTTTTTTTTTTTTATATAATATTTTTCTTTAAATACTCCTTTTATGTGGTCACAAAAGGGATGCTTATGCCTACCAATGGGACAAAAAGTATTTTAAAAAAATCAGGCTTTGTGCCTTTAAAGTAATCAAAGTTTAGCTGCAAGCCATTTCATACAGCTTTTCTAAGTGGCATTATGGGGAATGGAAGGGTTCACCCGGGTTCCAGGCCTGATTCTTCCTTTGTAACTAGGTCACTCAAACTCTGAAGAGCTCTCCTCTGCCTCAGCTGCTTCATTGGAATATGTTGAGCAGATACTCTCATGGAGCTAACATTTGATGACTTAAACCACTCTTATGGACATGAACGTTCTATTTTTGTCATGACCTCGAGGTAGAGTCTCCTTCTGTACCCCAGGCTGCCCCCAAAACTTTCTTTGCAACACAGCTGGTATTGTATTCCTTTTCTGCCTGCTTTAGGTTTCCAGATGCTGAAATAACAGGCACGAGCCACCACATCTGACTGTATTCTGCTCTATTGTTTTTCAAGTTTTATTTGAGACCACACGGCCAGGCTGGCCCAGAACTCACTATTATTTAGACCAGGCTGGCCTCACAGAGGTCTGTCTGTCTCTGTCTCCAGAGTGCTGGGATTAAAGATATGTACCACCATGTCTGGTGTATTCCTTTTTAAAAAATCTTTTTATTGACTTTTTGTGGATTTCACATCATGCATCCCGATCCCACTCATCTGCCCTCTGCCCTTGCAACTGCCCTCCCAAAGCAAAACAAAATTTAAAAGAACAGCCAAAAACAAACAAACAAACAACAAAAATTCTTAAGGTTCCCCGGAGACGGTGTCCAGAGAGCCTGCTTTCCTTGGGGAGTCAATGTTCTAGTCTTTTCCCAAGTCTTCTTGAGGATTTGCAGCCTTACATACGGTGTTTAGAATGTCTTGGTAAGTGAGGAAATGAGAAAGAAGGCTAATTCTCAAGGCCTGGTTCAGTTTAACTCTGGGCCCAGCAACTGTGCATCCCTCAGGGAGGAAATTCTAAACTAAACCTATGACTTTGCTTTTATATATTTTATTTTTCTTTCTATTCGGAGGCACAGCCTCCTTATGTAGCCCAGGCTAGCCTCAAACTCAAGATCCTCCTGGCTCAGCTTCTGAAATTCACAGGATCACAGGATTGTTACTGTGCCCCGCAAAGATCAACCTTTGTTTGATCCTTTTCTTTTTAAATGGATTTTCCTACATTGAAGCAACTCTTTCTCTCTCTCTCTCTCTCTCTCTCTCTCTCTCTCTCTCTGTGTGTGTGTGTTTCTTTCTGTACTTATAGTTTTATTTGCTTACTTAATAGTCTTCAAATTAGACTTGGGTCTAATTCTCTCTCTCTACCTTCTCTGAGGATAATGACTGACCCAAAAATGCTTTTGTCTTACATCACCAACCTTGAGTAGTCTTCTCTATTGTGTTCTTTGCAGCCTAATGCTATTCTAGTCCACTAGATACATCTTCTATTAGTTGGTTATCATCTGACCTCTCTACATAGCAAAGTTTGGCACATTTAGTAACTGAATTAGTCAAGGAACCAGAACACACACACACGCAGAGTGGGTGGGGGAGAGGAAAGAGAGATACCCATTTTAAGAATTGGATTTATTGGCCGGGTGGTGGTGGCGCATGCCTTTAATCCCAGCACTTGGGAGGCAGAGGCAGGCGGATCTCTGTGAGTTCGAGACCAGCCTGGTCTACAAGAGCTAGTTCCAGGACAGGCTCCAAAACCACAGAGAAACCCTGTCTCGAAAAACCGAAAAAAAAAAAAAAGAAAGAAGAATTGGATTTATTAACCACCGCATTTAGGAGGTGAGTTTGAGGTCAACCTGGTCTACCAAATGAGTTCTAGGCCAGCCAGGGCTACACTAGGTTTCTACATCATAAGGTTTGGCGAGCTCAAAGTCTGCAGCCTGGAGGACCCGAGAAGGAGCCTATGGTCCTAAGGCAGTCAGTTAGCAGAATTCTTTTTCCTATGGAAGGGGAGCCCTTTCTCTTAAGATCTTCAACTGATTCAATAAGGCTTCCCCACAATATGGACAATAGTCTATTCTCCCCAGTATTTGTCGATAAAAAAGCTAATCTCAGCTTTAAAACCCTTTCCTGTCTGGAGTAAGATTTGAACAGCTAACTGGGTGTTGTTCTGCAGCCAAGATGTCATACAGTGAGCTGCCCAGTCTTTTTGAATGAAAACCATTACAGCTACTTTTGGATTTTTATGTCTTTGTCCCTAGCTTTCCTGCTTTTATACTTCCCCGTCTTAATTTATTTTGATGAATTTACACAGGATCCTAGCCCGTGCTTTGTTGCCCTTTGCCCCTTGCAGCTGCTTTGCTGTGAATTTCTGCTAGAGAGCCCACACAGCCCTTGCATATTAATGACTTCCTGTTAGTACACATTTCTAAAACCTGTAGCTGTCACTGTGTAAACGGGCACTGGTGACATAGTCGGGCCTAGGGAGTGTCAAAGCTTTGTTTCAGCATCCTGTTTTCCGATTATTGGTGAATCTGTTCTCTTAAAACAACCATAAAGAGGTGGGAGAGCAGCTGGGCACCAGGGTCTCATCCTCTCATTGTATCCAACTAGAAGGAAGCTGATCCCAGAAGCACGGATGTGCATGAACATTTGGAGCCCTGTTCGTAGATGATGAAGTCAGTTTTTAAAGAGAGGATATAAAATTTTCTTTACAAAAGGACCTGTTATTGTTCTAAAATCGTGAGAGTACCACGAAGACTCCAGGTCTATGTAACCAGAGTGGTAGCCTGTGGTTTCTATTTCTCTCTAAAAATCTCTTCATATATAACACAGAAAAATATTCTAACAGATGTAAGCCAGACGTGGTGTTGCAAAATGGAAATTCCAGCGTTCTCAAGGTGGAGACAGGAGGAATGAGTTTGAGACCAGTCTGGGCTATAGTGGAAACCGTCCCAAAAAAACAAAACAAAACCCACCAAAATTTAAATTTCTTCCGTCTCTCTTGTTCCCTCTGACAGACAACTGTAATTTACAGTTTGATGTTTGCCCTTCCAAGCAGCCCTCCCCGCAGTGCTTTAACATATATCCACCATCCTAAAACATGATTTATTTTCTGCTTAATAAAAATGTCCCCAAATTCCACACGAATGCCTCCTTCATTATTTTTGAGATTAATAGGAGATTTTTTTATGGCAAGAGTCATTGCCAAAGTTAATAGGAGATCCAATTTTCCTTCCTAAAGAAGTCTGCCTTTCTCTCCCGTCTGTTTTGAAACCGCGTCAGAAGAGAGGTCCAATTCCCAGCACAGCTCCTAAAAGTGAATTCTTGGAGTTGGGTCTGAAATTAGGATAAACAGCTATTGATCTTACGTAGGTCCAACGAGCCAAGGCAGGATCTAAGATGAGCGTTTGCGGTGGTTGTACGGAAGCAGATATTCCCGTTTAAGATGACCCTGATGCTCAAGCGCTCGACCTGCATCTTTCGGGTCTCCGGGGACAGTTAGTTGTACTGGGCTGGGTCGAGGGTACTGGGAAGAGTGGCCAGGGGCGCAGGCTTATACTTGGAACACGACATCTTGGCCTTAATGCGTCTTTCGCTACCTTAGAGTATTAATAATTCCAGAGCCATAATTTAGGGGTGAGAAGCTAATTGTTCCCTTCTAAGTTCCCGTTAGAAGCACTTCCGTGAAGAGCATGCAGACCCAAACAGTCTAGCGCTATAACGGACGAGCAGTAGCCACTCTAGGAGATGGGTGCCGCAATCAGGCCAGCTTACAGCGAGGGGCAGAACCCGACAGGGGAGCACGCCCGGCTCGCCCCGGCCCCCATAACCGCAGACACACAGCGCAGAGCGGTTCCCAGGCCGCCCTCTCCACCCGCGCTTCCCTGGGGATTGGGCGCCGTGACAGCCACCCCTTCCGCCCGGTGCTGATGGTGGGGAGGGCGCGGCCCCGCCGGAAGCCGCTCTGCGTCTGCTACTCCCCAGCCCAAGAGTCCCGCTCGCGGCTCCGCCCTTGTGTGCCCCGGGCACGCACGCGGGACACCGAGGCTCCAGCGCCTGCTACCCCTACTCCTGCTCAGGTCGCCTGGGCTCTCAAGACCCCCTCGCCCCCGCCCTGCTCTCCCAGCCTCTCCCCAGCAGGTACAGCCAGACTCCCTGTACCACTCTCCTCCGGTTGACCTTGTACCCACTCAGCCCCGGGCTCTCACTTCCAGAGTCGTACCAGGCCCTCAAAGTGGCCCTCCAGGACTTTCCAGAGTGTGTCGCCCTCTCCCTTAACCTCTTCTTTCCCTGTTCCTCCTCCGACCCAGGCCGGGAAAACAGGCTAGTCTGGAAGTGGACTTCAGTTTTGATTGTATAGTTTGTTTGCAATGAGACCCGTAGAAGTTTAAAGTGGGTTAAGAAATAATGACTTCTTACGGCTGGGACTGGGGCATGTCCCAGGATGAAAAGGAATTCCATAGAGAAAAGATGCTTCCTCCACGGGCTCCCCACACACTGGGGACAGTTGCAGAAAGGAAACCTTGAGCATTGGGAGGGAAAGGAGTGGGTGTTAGTTCTCAATTCTCAGAGGTCAACAAAGTTTTGGCTTCGAAAACCTGGGCCAAGACAGTACCTCAGAGAACATTTACAATCTACATCCTCCTGCTGCCCCACGAATGGGAAACCATTCCAGAGTGAATGGCTTGTTTATTATGATCACACAACTAACTCAAGAGAGTACAGATCTCTACTTCCTAGGCTTTGTTTATACATAAGAAAATATTTAGATAATGTGATTAGGTGCTCGCTCTTACAAATGCTCAGTCTGTCTTTCCCCCTTACTGCTTCTTCAGGTCTTTGCCGTCCTGTGCCCTAGTCCTGAGCAGTGTGGCTAGATGGAAGACCGTGGAAGTGCCTGGGCTTGAACTAAACCTAAGATAGCATTTAGGTAAGTAGAGAGGAAGAAGGGCAGTTGGGTGCAGGGAGAGCTTGAACTTAGGGCAGGGCTGAGCTAGTCTCTGTGTCTCTAAGAGTGTTTACCCCTGTACATGGGGTAGATGGATAGACAGAGTGGGCAAATGTTGGAGCACTTTGAACCTGAGGGTCACAGGGATTGGGCACAGTGGGGAACTGGCCTAGCGCAGAGTAGGGTCTCGAGAAATGCACGCACAAGGAAGCCAGTGCTTTGGCAAGGATTTCATGTGTGGTGGGAATATTCAAAGCATCGCAGCTTGAATGGAAAGGGATCCTGGCAGCTGGGAACCAAGGAGTGCTAAGTGTTACAGCCTGGGTGGAAAAGTAGTCTGGGAAGCTGGGCCAGGGAAAACTGAGTGTTACAGTTCGGATGGAAGAGTATTCTGGCGATCAGGAGCTAAGGAATACCACAGGTCATAGCAAACATAGCAGCTTACAGCTCTGGTCTAGGGAAAGGTTTCTCCAGTGTAACAGCTCTGTTCCGGTTCGGCTCCAGCTCCTGTTCCCTGCAGTGCAGGAGTGTTGTAACCTCGCTCTGCTAGGGGGGAAGGTTTCCCCATTCTAACAACTCTGTTCCCATTGGGCTCCAGCTCCTGTTCCCTGCAGTGCAGGAGTGTAGTAACCTCGCTCTGCTAGGGGGGAAGGTTTCCCCATTCTAACAACTCTGTTCCGATTGGGCTCCAGCTCCTGTTCCCTGCAGTGCAGGAGTGTAGTTACTCCTGCTCTGCTAGGGGGGAGGTTTCCCCAGCAAAAGTGTTACAGCCCTGCTCTGTTCTGGCCCCCACGAAAAGTGCATTTCTGTGAAGGAAGGTCTCACTCAAACCTCACTCAAGAGATTTATTGGGAGGGAAGAATCCAGGACGGTGGCAGCCTGTGCCAGGGTGGAAGAAGGCAGCAGCAAATTATATAGGGTTTCTTAGGAGCCAAGTTTTTCCAGGGAGAAGATTTTCAGGGTGGGAGTCAATCAGATTTCAGTCCCTTGAGCTCAGATTTGCTAGAGCTCGTGCTCAGGGATTGGTTGGTTTTCTGCTCAGGGATTGATTCTTGTCTGCACAGGGATCGGTTGGTTTTCTGTTTAGTTGGAGTTGGTCAGGCACAGATTTGCCTCTGGTTTGAGGGCCAAATTGTGTTTCTCTAACTTCAGGGCCAGGGCATATTTCTTTTTCTGACTGTGATTCTAGGGCCGAAGTGTGTTTCTCTGGCTCTAGTCAGGGTGTGTTGCTTTGGCTCTAGTCAGGGTGTGTTTCTTTGGCTCTAGTCAGGGTGTGTTTCTTTGGCTCTAGTCAGGGTGTGTTTCTTTGGCTCTAGTCAGGGTGTGTTTCTTTGGCTCTAGTCAGGGTGTGTTTCTTTGGCTCTAGTCAGGGTGTGTTTCTTTGGCTCTAGTCAGGGTGTGTTTCTTTGGCTCTAGTCAGGGTGTGTTTCTTTGGGTGTGATTACCAGGCCAAAGTGTATTTCTTTCACTGGTATCAAAGCCAGGGCGGGTTTCTTGGGCTGGCCCTTTCCTCCTTCTCCTACACAATATCATCTGTGATCCAGTACTATAGAACTTTTATTTATTTATTTATTTATTTATTTATATTTTTGGATTTTTGAGACAGGGTTTCTCTGTAGTTTTTGGTGCCTGTCCTGGAATTAGCTCTTGTAGACCAGGCTGGCCTCCAATTCACAGAGAACCGCGCCTGACTCTGCCTCCCGAGTGCTGGGATTAAAGGCATGCGCCACCACTGCCCCGACATAGAACTTTTACCATATATAAAGCAAACAGGGACTAGAGAGATTGCTTAGCAGTTAAGAACACTGGGTACCCTTCCAGATGACTCAGGTTCAAGTCCCAGCAACCACGTGGCAGATCAGAAATGCCTTTAAGCCCAGTTGTAGGGGATCAGACATCCTCACACAGACACACCTGTAGACAAAAAGCCAGAGTACGTAAAATAAAAATAAATCATTCTAAAATGGAAAAACAAAAATATTGCTGATAAAAAGGAAGAGTGTGGGCAAAGCTTAATTATGGAACTGGTTGTTGATGGATAATAATCATAAAGTTGTGCCCTCTATACACTTTATGGGAACTCATTCATTCCTTGTAACGCATCTGGGAGGTTGTTGCTGTTTGTTTGTTTTTAAATCATTAACTTGCTTTTTTTCTGACTGATCTTTCTCTTTCTTCCTGCAGGTGTCTTAGCTGTCCCCCCGAGACCACCTGTGCCAAGCGCAGCATGGGTGGGGGGCTGATTGAGAGATATGTGGCCGCCATGGTGCTGAGCGCAGCTGGAGATGCCTTGGGATACTTCAATGGGAAGTGGGAGTTCCTTCGGGACGGGGAGAAGATACACCGGCAGTTGGCCCAGATGGGTGACTTGGAAGCCATAGACGTGGCACAGTGGAGAGTCAGCGACGACACGGTGATGCACCTGGCTACGGCAGAGGCACTCCTGGAAGCCGGCACATCCCCGAGCTTGGCTCAGCTGTATTCCCTTCTAGCTAAACATTATCAGGACTGCATGGGAGACATGGATGGCCGGGCGCCAGGTGAGTGCTGCTGGGAGGAGGTGGCTCCTGGGGACAGAGAATGTTGGTGGGACTAGGGATCGGTGACTGTCTCGACACTCAGGAGGACTTTGACTTCAAAACCAGCCTAGGCTCTGGAGTGAGATTCTGTTTCAGAGAACCAAAAGGAGAAAAAAGTTGTGGGGCATTTAAATATCAATGAAATGGTAGTGTAGATTTGAATTCTTGTAACTTATTTATGGTGGCATCACAGTTTTGTAAACTCTGCAGATGAATATGGAAAGGTTTTATCCATGAAATAAAAAAAGTAGGTTTCAGAAAAATATTTTATGAAAATAATGTCGTGTGCCAGGTGTGGTAGTGCATATCTGTAATCCCAGCACTTGGGAGGAGGAAGCAGGAAGGTCAGGAGTGGGGTGGTATGAGAGGTGGTAGAGATATGGCTCAGCAGGTAGGAACACTAGCTGTGCAAGCGTGAGGACCTGAGTTCAAATCCCCAGCACCCACATAAACAATCACATGTGTAGCCCCTGTGCAAAAGGAGACAGAGACAGGAGGATCCCTGTAGTTTGCTGGGCTATCTCTAGACCCTGTACCAAGAATCTGAGAAAGAGACAGGACACCTGGCAGCCACCTCTGTCCTCTGTATGCACATGGGCATGTGCTCAAACACTACACACACATACACACACACACAGAACAGTTGCTTCTCTCTGTTGAGAGAGGTCTGGAAGCGTATTCATAAATATATTCATAATTCTACCTAAGTTATAGAAGTAGACGTCATTTGTTATTTTTCTTCTATTTTCTATATTTTGTTATGAACAATTACAAAGAAAACTGTTTTTGCTTTTCTAATTAAGAAAAAAAATGAAGACTCTCTTTTGTTCCAGTTGTGCACACAGTGGCTCTTACCCACTTTGGGAACTTATTGTGGTCCCCTAGGAGCCTCCAAGTTTAGGTCACCTTTTCCCTGACCAACCTTTCTTCCTATAAGAGTCTGTTGGGGATTATCATTACAAAGTGTTATACAACTGTGCCACAAGGACATGTGCTCAAATATTTAAAAGTAATAGAATAAAAAATAATCCATGTAAAGATAAAATATACAGAGAGTCTGAATTATGTGTATTATTGTGTTTTCTTTGGCTTTTTTGATGGTTAATGAGTTAACTGCTGAAAAACATTTAATTCTGGGGATTGCTAAGCTAAACCAACGTACATATTTTAAAGTTATCTTGACTTCAAAATTTGAGTCTAAGGATATGTTACTTTGAAAAAGAAGCTCTGCTTTTGTTTCTACAGAAGATAAGAACTTGTGGATTCCTTCCAGGCTAATATGGTTTGATGGAACATGACTCCAAAAGGTGTCTATGAACCCTAAAAATACTTCACCCAAAAAACAACAGGAAGCACCTTGGAGAAAACAATGCCCAAATTCCTAAAATGATTATTTATAAATGTTTGTTTTCATTTAAAGGGGATTTGTTGTAAGTGGTTAATGGTCACAGTCAATCTCTTTCTAAAAAATGGAGGGGATATGATATAGAGATAAATGCTTTACATTAGTGTAGATTTTAGTCTGTTGATACAAATTTAAGGTTAATTTTGTTACACTACTTTTGTTTAAGATATTATGTTTATACCACTCATTTAAAATACAATGTATAGTTAAAATTACAGATTAATAGTTAGTCATTTATAATAGTCAAACTTGTAGTCATATTAGTTAGGTTTTCTAGGTACACAGAGATATATTTCAGTTAGATAGATAATCTTCAACACTTCAAAGACCTACAGAATATTGCATTTTAAAGGTTTTAAGAACTTAGGGTTTTCTCAATAGTGAGACATGCCTGCTTCTGACACCACCAATTACTTTATAGAGAGGTTGATGGGCATTCAAGAAACTCATTATGGAATTTGCCTTCAATGTGACAAAATTAGCCATTTGGGCAAGAAACTCTTGCCTGGACTGCTTTATGGTATTCTGTATAAACTGGACATACAGAACCCACAGAAAAATGACTGCTGAACTTGCAAAAAGAAGGTGAAACAGTTCTTCAGGGTTCTTGCTTCATGAAAGAGTCTGCCAGACATTCTACAGGACACAGAAGAAAGTGACTGACAAACTGCCAATATAGACAAAACAGTCTTGCAAATTTCCTGCTTCATGGAAAAGTCTACTGGATACTATGGGCCTGTAGGCTGAAGGTGGATACCCAATGTTACAGAAGAACTTTGGGTGACTATGCAGGCAGTGAGATGCCTTTGTCAATTCTAGAGTTTTGGAGGTTGCTTACAATGTACTTCCTGTTTACTTAGGTAATATTATATCCTTCTGGGATCTTTGATGGATTTGAAGATAGCTAGATATGGTTATAGTTTTCCTTAGTTATAATAAAAGATAAATTAAATATGAAACTTTAGACTCACAAAGATAAAATAGATGATAGAGTATTTTCTTTAATTTTTCCAGATGCAAACAGACTATTGTAACTGTAATTCTTGCTTTGTACCCATTTTGTTATGTGTAATTTTACTATGTTAAAGTTAAAACCTTCCTTTCTATTTAGACAGAAAAGGGAAAATGATGTGGGATGTCCTTCTATATATATGTTGTTTTTATTGGGTCATGAATAAAGCTGTTTCTACCAAGGGCTTAGCAGAGTAAATAAAAACCCAGTCTCCCTTTACATAAAATGGACAATGGACAAAAGGTCAGTGGGAAAACCTCCTTTTACCCCTGTCATGTAGGGGACAGTCACAGTCTGTTGTTCCTGATCTAAACCTAATGTTTCTTCTGGAACTTTCTCTTTCTGATAGTCAGTAACCCCAATGGGAACCCCAACAGGCTCTTATTAGACTCACTAAGGACTTCAGCTATGGAGTCTGATTATATTTTAATGGTCACTGACTAGCTGCTTCTGTGATCTTAAGTTCCCTAAGTTTTGAGTCTGATCTTATTAAAAACAAATATATGATAGCGCACACCTGTGGTCCTAGCACTTCGGAGGCAGAAGCAGGAGAATGACTATGAGTCTGTGGCCAGACTCAGATACAAGAGAGAGTCCCAGGCCAGATTGGTTTATGTAGAAAGCCTTTCTTTCAAAAATAAATAAAAGCAAATAAGTTACAGCGATCCCAAGGCTTACTTTATGTTTTTGCTACTTTGTTAATTCATAATATCACACTTAGGATTACATATGAAGAAGGACAACTTTTGGGCTGGGGTTTGAAGTTGTGGGGCCATCCATACCATATGTTCCGTCCATATCATATGTTCCGTCCATATCATATGTTCCATCCATATCATATGTTCCTATCCATGTCATATGTTCCATCCATATCATATGTTCCATCCATATCATATGTTCCGTCCATACCATATGTTCCTATCCATGTCATATGTTCCATCCATACCATATGTTCCATCCATATCATATGTTCCATCCATATCATACGTCCATCCATATCATATGTTCATGGCTTTCCTTTTGTTTCAGAGAAACTTGGGAGTCTGTTTTGTTCTTTATTCTCATGGGTCCTTTGTTTTGGTCTCTGACCCTTCTCTCTACCTGACTCACCCTAGGCGGTGCTTGCATGCAGAATGCCATGCAGCTGGAGCCCAACAGGCCCGATGGCTGGAGGATCCCCTTCAACACCCATGAGGGTGGCTGCGGAGCTGCTATGCGTGCCATGTGCATCGGGCTGAGGTTCCCTCACCCCAGCCAGCTGGACATGCTAATCCAAGTGAGCATCGAGAGTGGCCGGATGACCCACCACCACCCCACAGGCTACCTGGGAAGCCTCGTGTCGGCTCTTTTTACAGCGTATGCCGTGAATGACAAGCCACCGAGGGAGTGGGGAAGAGGGTTGATGGAAGTGTTACCAGAAGCCAAAAACTACATTGTCCAGTCAGACTACTTTGTGGAGGAAAATCTCCAACACTGGTGAGTGTCCGTGTATGCGCATGCACCATCCGTGTACCTAGGGTTCAGAGGTCACAGCAGCCATCACAGTTCTCACATTCCTGTTCCTCCCAGGGCACCTGCTAAGGAGTCCACGTTCCTTTCCAGTCATGGTTGCCTGAAGCAGCCAAGAGGGTGCCTTGGTGTGTGGGCACCTGTAGTCACCTAAGTCCTAGTCTTGATTCCAGCTTCCTATAAATGTCTATGACCAGCCTGTGCAGAGACGCACTTTTCTTGGTTACCTCCTGTTTCTCTGAGATTTCTTTTTCCAGTATTGCTTTGAAGCAATATTTCAGAACCTTTGGTTAGAATGCCCGAGAGATAAGTTTCCCCAGGAGCTGGGTGACAAGGCCACCTCTCCCCCTCTTCATGGCTTACTTCACATCAGCTTTCTTAGAAGCAAAGGGCTCAGCGCCCTTACTAAGGGTGCCCACGTCGTGATGTCCCAGAGTTCTCCTGGAAAGGTAATAAGGTGTTGCTCTGGACCCAGAAGAACCAATGTTTGTTTCCTGTCCCGCCGCCCTGACACATACCTTCCTTACTGAGCAACTGCAACTGAGTCCATACCTGGTCTCAGTGGGTGGTTAGTAAAAAATGGATGAATGGCTTGTAGAGTTAATGCTGCTTTTCCCTATGAGTTTATGAATGGCTTGGAGAGTTGTTGCTGCTTTTCCCCCATGAGTTTATGTCACTAGTATGGGGAGCTGAAGTCATTCTGGACTTTTTTCTATTTACATATCTACCTGGTACTTTTCCATATGGCTTTTGACATTAGTTTTTAAAAAATTGATTTCCCTGCCGCAGGTCTTACTTCCAGAAAGAATGGGAAAAGTACCTGGAACTTCGAGGAATTTCAGATGGCAAGTCAGCTCCCGTCTTCCAGAAGCCCTTCGGGGTGAAGGAAAGGGATCAATTCTACATCTCCCTGAGTTACTCTGGCTGGGGCGGCAGCAGTGGACACGATGCCCCCATGATCGCCTATGATGCCCTCCTGGCTGCGGGGGACTCCTGGAAGGAACTTGCACACAGAGCCTTTTTCCACGGCGGAGACAGCGATTCCACAGCAGCCATCGCCGGCTGCTGGTGGGGAGTGATGCATGGTTTTAAAGGAGTCAACCCTTCTAACTACGAGAAGCTGGAGTACCGGCAGCGGCTGGAAGAGGCAGCGCGGGCTTTATATTCTCTTGGGTCAAAAGAAGACACTGCATTTGGCCCCTAGGAGAGGGTGGTGTTTTCCTTTCCTTTTTTTTCCTGGTGACTTCTTTCTCCATAGCCGTGGTTCTTCTCAGTCTATTCAAGTATTCTCATCTCATGCTCAGACTTTAGAGAGGACAAGTTCCTTGGTCGCCCTTAGCTCTGCCTTCTCACACGCTTTTCCTGTGTTCCCACGCTTCCCTCCTCTCCTCGGGTTCATCTCTGTGTTTGAGAATCTTTTTATTTCACTTGATGGTGTCAGCTTTTCCCCTTCCAGAAGCACCTTGTATTTGAATCTTTGTTTTTGATCATAGAATTGTTCCAAATGCTTTGTCCACGTTTTCCTCAATCGGGTCCCCCACCTACCCCAAGTAGACTCGGGCAAAGATTTGAGTGCAGAGAGTTTCTTTGGGAGGCAATTCCAGGAAGTAGAACAGGGAAGTGAGACCAGGAGGGAAGGGAGCTCACAGGCTGTGTGAATGAGCAGGAATCCCCATGGCCATTTGAGGTGCATTCTATGGGGGTCCTCTGCCTGAGGCAGTCCTCAGCGTTGTCCTCATGAAATGCCATGCCAGTTTTGAGTGTGCGTCCACTGACTTTGGATGGGTTAAGGACCATCCCCAGCAAAGCTGTCAGTTCCCTGGGACATCTCAGCTTGTCCGTGTGCAAGCCAAACATTAATGTCCTCAACGCAGTGGCAAGTTATACGGCCTGAGAACAGAGGGGCCCGTGGGGATCCTAAGAGCATCGTTATCTTGGTCAGTGTTCTCTTGCTGTGAAGAGACACCATGCTCACAGCACCTCTTATAAAGGAAAGCATTTAATTGGGGCTCGATTACAGTTTCAGAGGTTTAATCCGTTATCATCATGGCAGGAAGCGCAGTGGCAGACATGGTGCTGGAGAGGTAGTTGAGAGTTCTACATCCGGATCTGCAGGCAGCAGGAAGAGAAAGACTAGGCCCGGCATGGCCTTTGGAAACCTCAAGGCATATCCCCCAGACACACACTTCCTCCAACAAGGCCGGAACTCCTAATCCTTTTAATCCTTTCAAACAGTGCCATGCCCTGGCAACTAAGCGGTTAAATATATGAGCCTTTGGGGGCCAATCTTATTCAAACTACTCCATCTGCAGGCTGTTCTCCATCCAAAGGTTCTAATGTACATTACTTCCTTTCTCCCTCTATCTTCCCCTCTCTCTTTTCTGAAAGGGTCTATAGCCCAGGTAGTCTCTAAGACCTCAAGTTCCTAAGATGGTCTACCTGCCTTTACCTCCTGTGCATTGGGATTACAAACATTCAGCGTTGTGCCCGGTGCTGAAGATCAAACCTAGACCTTCGTGCTCGTTAGGCAGCCATTCTGTGAGCTGAGCTACATCCCCAGCCCTGTACTTTAAAACGATCATCTCCTCCTCCTCCTCTTCCTCTTCCCTATTCTTCTTGAGACAGGGCCTTAATACGAGTCCGGCTGGTCTCTGACTCAGAGATCTGCCTGCCTCTGCTTCCCGAGCGGCACGATACAAGGTGCGCCACCAAGTCCTCTCCTAAATCTGTTGCTTCTTTGGTTCTTTGGCGCTGTGGCACTGACTTTCTCAGCTGGATTCCTGTTGTCCCCAAGCGGTGCAAGCTCGGTCGGCCGGATGCTGCTGTTAGCCGTCCCCAGTGCTGGCCCTGTTGTGACCCAGAACACACTGTTCAGAGTGTTCATCTGTTTGCTTGTCTCTGTTCTCTGCACAGACACTTGCAGGTGCTTCGCTTACTCAATGTGGGTTAAGCGTCCATTGCTAGGTAGCCTCCTGCCCCCCACGACTCTCCAAGTTACCTTTACAGATAGCAAGCTGATGGCATCAAGCCACTAGTTGCCTTCTAGTGGGTCTGCTTTACATCTCGATGCTGCTTTTCTGTCGTCTTCTCCTGTTCCATTTCACCCACAGCCCTAATTCATAGCGCTATTCCCACACTGAACCTGTTGGGAGGTGGTTGGGTATCTTTTTGGTCACTCTCAAGGGAACACGGCCTAGCAAAGGTCCAGCCGCTACAGTTAAGTCCCTATGGCCACTTCAGTCTTCCAGGAGGCTTCCTCACCTGACTCACTGCCAAGGGTAAGGACAGGAACCCATTTCCCTCCCTTAGCACAACCACAGAGTTCTGACCCCTGCAAGTTCTCTAGTTTCCTGGTGTTCACTGGGTTTGTGGGAGGGAGATCTCATCACACTAGTTTGGGGTTTGCCTTTCTAAGCCCTTGGGTTTATTTAAAATGAGGGGGAGGAAGTGCAGGAGACTATGGGCATGTTAGCATCTGCTGAGATCTGGGGAAGGGCTTTAACCACAGAGACAACAGGAGACCCTAGACATCCTGTTCTGCTTGCATGCTCTCACTTTATCACAGGCACCCTGGGAAATTCCAGGATTTCTCAAGCCTCCTCTTCAATTACCACTCTGAACCAGTGACCTTGGAAAGCAGGGAAAGGGAGGGAGGAGTGAGAGGAAGGATGAGAACGAAGAAAAAGATGATCAATGAAATGGATAATGTCCAAGCACATCAATAAAAGTGAGGCCCCAGCACGAGCCTGTCATATGTATCCATTGGACATGTGCCAAAAACCAGGGCAGTCCTGTGTAGGACAGACAGAGCTCTCTCAATTCCGGGCAGTCCTATGCAGCAGGGCAGGACAGACAGAGCTCTCAATCCCAGGCAGTCCTGTGCAGCAGGGCAGGACAGACAGAACTCTCTCCATCCTGTGCAATCCTGTGCAGCAGGGCAGGACAGACAGCTCTCCAGATCCTGTGCAGCAGGGCAGGACAGACAGCTCTCCCGATCCTGTGCAGCAGGGCAGGACAGACAGCTCTACCGATCCTGTGCAGCAGGGCAGGACAGACAGCTCTCCCGATCCTGTGCAGCAGGGCAGGACAGACAGCTCTCCCGATCCTGTGCAGCAGGGCAGGACAGACAGAGCTCAGAGCTCTCTCTCTCTCTCTCTCTCTCTCTCTCTCTCTCTCTCTCTCTCGATTTGCATCATTTGTTTTCTTTGCTGCCTAAGGTTGCTAGGGGAATAGTTTGCTCTGTGACCTGCAAAGTTTACATTGTCCTAAGTTGCATGTTCACCAGTCTCCAGCCGCTGTTGTCAGCCCTCATTCTCTACCTCACTGGAACAAGCAAACATGCATCTTTCCTTTGTTGGCAGCTGTGGCTGCTGCAGGGTAGAACTAGAGTCTATCAGGCCAGTGCATCCAGATACGAAGTAGTAGGCAGGCTTGCCATTATTACTATCACTATTCTGTCTTTGGGATGTAGGAGTGGCCTCTAAGGGTTTTCACATCTGGGAAAGGAAAGAATGCGTTAAATGATTCAGAGCAACCAAACCAATGGTACAGTGGGTCAGAGGGCTGCTCTTGTCTATGCAAAATCACAGCTAGGGAGAGAGAAGCTGAGCTGTATGCTGTATTTGACTATAAAAGATGGGATAAACATTGAAGTCTTCCTTACTCCTACACCTCCTGACACTTAGCAGCGGATCTGAGGCGGTTGTTTCTCTAGACCCTCAGCCACTCCCCAGAAGGCACCAGCTGCTTGCCTCAAATCCTGTGTTGATGTCATTCACGTAGGGTTAGCATCAGATCCACAGGTTGAGGGTTCCAACCCACAAGACTTCCCGCTTGAGACTCCCTTCGCAAGTCCCAGACCGACCTGTGTGTGTCTCATGACTGTAAGCCAGACTTCCCACAATTTCCTTCTTATAGCTGATTAAGTCCTGGGGCAGCTTGCACTGCTCAGAGGCTCATCTGTGTCACCAGCTTGTTATACAGGCTACAAATGGGGAACAGATAGAGGAGGTGCACAGAATGCGACGTACGGGCAGAGTTCCTTGATTCCTCCCATCTGTGAAGCTGTGGACTGAAGTTTCCATTTACCGATAGAGAACCGTGCTTCCAACCACAGCCCTCCCCAGCACACTCCAGGCTATACTGCTCAATGCTAGTGCAAGAAAGTCTCACTGCACTTACTGGGCTTTCTTCAAACAGGTATTCTAGCCCAACGACATTTTTTAAAGTATAAGTTGGCAGGGCATTCCATGCCTGTGAATCCAGCATTCTGGAGGTGGAGACAAGAAGATTGCCATAATTTTGAGGCTAACCTGGGCTACAGAGTAAATGTAAGATCAGCCTGGTCTACATAATGAGTTCCAGGCAAGCCTAGGCTATCTACTCTGAAAACACCTCTGCCCACCCCACAACAGGCTATTTAAATAAAACCTTCATGTTCATGTTAGTACAACTGGCAAGTGGAAGGAAGTGACCGTGACTGAGAGATGAAACTGATGAGGGGATTGTTGAACACGGCCTCGAGAAAAAGCAATCTCCAACAGAAGGACCTCTGCCAGTGACATCTCAGCGGATGAGAGAGCATCTGAGGCTAAAGTGGGCTTTCTGGGTCCCCCAGCCTTGAATGCTGGAGACTTAGGCAGGTGGCACTTTTGCTTTGGGAAATGGTGCCAGATGGGCTGTTAGAACTAAGGAAGGCCTGCTCTGATGCCGTGCAGAAACCTGCCTTTGGGAGTCCGCCCTGCTGCCAGGCATGCCCTCTGGGCCTCACGTCACTAGGACTAATGGAAGGTAGAGGATGCTGTCATCCTCGAGGGCTGCTGGGAGGCGATGGACCACCCACAATAGTAGCCACATTTAGAGGATAAAGATGTGGTGTCATCTTCTCAGATTAAAAACTTTCTCAGCTACTTTGTGTGGACATGGGAGAGTTATTTAGCCTGGTTCTGCCTTGATTTCCACGTGCAGAGCAGAGATAGTAGCATCCCTGGTCCTGTGGATTGTAGGCTTCGCCTACACACACATGTGACATGTGGCAAGTTCTTAAAGGGAGAGTGACAGTGGGAAATTGCTAAGTGCTGGTGACATCTCTTTAAAAAGTGCGCCTGAAAAAATAAAATAAAATAAAAAGTGTGGCTGGCGTCTTCTTCCTGCCAGCCTGTGATAAGATGGGAGATACAGGGAGAATTCCAGACATACCACTTCAAGCCAGTTTCTTCCACCGCTTGGGGAACTGTTTCACTCAATCCAAGGGACCCACATGTCTTTGTTTCCTGAGGGTGTCTCTTGGTTCTGCCTTGCAGTACTGCACCCCAGAGATAAGCCTGCAAGACTCACAATTTTTAGTTTAAGAACAAACATTAGCCATAAAATTTTAGCACCCAACTTTCGTTCTAAAGCTACAGATGGTTCTCAGCACAGACAGAGCCTTAGAGTCATTTGTGGGTTCAGCGTCTTTCTATTCTGAGAAACCCTACCCTTCTCCCTGACCTTTTATCTGGACAAAAAGCAGCCCAGGTCTCCATCTGGAAAAGCAGGATTATTGCTTTAAAGGTGAGAGTTGTGACTGGGGTGTAGCTCAATTTCACAGCCCTTGACTAGTGTAAGAGGGCTAAGGTTCAATTGTCAACACTACCCTGGCTAAAAACAAAACAAAACACACAGACCAAAACCCAGAATGGGGTCTAAACCTTGTGGTGTGGTACTAAGGGCACATGGCCTTCTTTCTCCGGCGGCCTTTAGATTGTGAGAAGTGGCTTCACCGTAGTCTTGTTTCTTGTCTTAGACCAAGACGGGACTTCCTCTCCTCTTCCCAAGTTATAGGAAGCAAATTTACAACCCGCAGAGCACCCAGCCTAGGATGCATTTTAGCCAGTTCCCCAAGACCCAGGAATGCTGCCCCGGTATGTGTTCCACTTGCACAATAGCTGAGGGACTCAGAGAGCAGGAGACACATCATCATTCTGTGAGTTAAGACATTGATGATCCTCCTGCTTCTGGGAAAGAGGAGGAGGAAGGGTTGGAGCGGGGCCCAGATTCATCTGGTCAGATCTTGGCTGTTTCCAGATGCTGTGCTCCCTGCGCGGTCTGCCATTGCTCTTGAGGTCGACCGGCAAGAAAGGGGAACTGGGACAGTTGGAGATGGTTTATCTGTGCCTGGCTGCTGTTCCCACTTACTGTGCCTTGTTCTGGTGTGTGTGCGCGCACACACATGCTCACATGTAAGACATACAGGGCATCAGGAGGGAAGACTCCAATGTCCTACCCTCAGCTCGAACTGAAGAGGAAGTTGGGGGGAGATTAGGCTCCTGAGTGTTGTAGGATGAGTACCATTGGGGTTGGGCCCCCAAATTTTATGACGTGGTCCGAGCATCCTGGAAACAAGAATGAGGAAGCTCTTAGGTACATTTGTGAGCCTGAAAAGCAATGTCTGAAGGTCTGTGGGGCTGGAGAGATGGCTGAGTGGGGACAGGCGCTAGCCACGCAGCCTGATGACCTGAGTTTGATCCCTGGGCCTCACAAGGTGGAAGGAAAGAATTGACTCTTGCAAGGTGTCATTGCAAACTGCAGGCACATTCATGCACTCCTTTGTACACGCCTGCGCACACACACTGTGTCTAATAGGTTAGAACCATGTTGCTGTTCTAAAAGGCAGGGGTGGGAGTGAGATCGAATATCTCCAGAGGACTTAGAAGAAAATGGTGATCATGGGGCCTCCTGCGCATTCTGGGAACTGGAAGTGGGGGATAACGGTGGGTAGAGACTCATTCTTCACCCTACATTTTCATACACTGTAAAGCTTAAAAAGTTATTTATCTATTTACTGTGTGCCTGTGTGCGTGCACATGTGTGCGAGTATGTGTGTGTGTGCGTGTGTGTGCAGACCAAAGGTTCTTGTCTGCTGATTCCCCTTTTAAGACAGGGTCTGTTGCTGAATAAGGGACTCACCAATTGCCTAGTCTGCCCCAGGGATACTTCCAGGGCAGAGCCCGTGTTCTGGGCCTAAACTGTCTTGCTCGAAACACCTACTCTCTATCAATTTCTCTCGATGCTCCCTGACAGGACTGTAAACACACATGTCAACAGCACTCCCTTCAGAGAGCCTGCCTGCTGTCAGGTCCCTGCCCTGTGACAGTATGCATTCATGACAGGACCGCTGGCCTGTCAGGAGCGGTGCTCTGTCCTAGGCTGCAGGGAAACCCCTCCCTGTGGTCTCCACTACCCCTCGGAGTGAGGATGCCCCATGATGGGACAGATTCCCTGGCTCCAGGCCCAGCGCTAGCCCTTCCACCGACAGTGTCGCTGTGACACCTCCTTTTCTACTGTTGCTCCTTTACCTGTGCACTTAGGAAGCAGGAGGTCTTTTGAGAGGTTAGATTTCACGTTCTAACCCCAGGAGGCTGAGGAAGGCAACACTCTGCAGAGCCACACCTGGTCTTTTCTCACCCTGTCCAGTAGGTGTGCACAGTGGTCGGCTGTATGCCTGGTGAGGCCCCAGGGATCCAAAAGTGAAAGAGGCTTCCAGCCTCGGACAGCTCGGTCTTCCCAGGGCCAAGCTTGTCCACAGAAATTCCATCCCAGTGAGAGTTTTGTAACCACGGGGAGATGAAAGGCTGGCCTTTTCATCACTGACATTTCATAATGGGAAATGGGAGCGGTGTGGAAAGCCATTTCCTGATCTTGTTTGGCGCACAGAGGAAGAACAATGTGTTTCAACGCGCCTTGGTTTAAGAAAAAAAAAAGTGTGGGAAGGGTGCTCGTTTTCATTGAGAAGAAGAAACTGAAAACTCCGGGGGTTAAGCAAATAGGAAGAGTTATGTATTTATTTATCTTATAAGTCATGCAGTCAGTTAACGATTGCTGAGTCCCACGTGGGTGTTGCATGTTTGGTGGGAGGCTGGACTATGTGATCCTTAGGACTCTTCTTCAGACTGGCTCCAAGACTCCAGCTCAGCGATGCCTCCTGGCCTCCGGGAGAGATGCTTCTGGCTGTGGGGACTGCTTTTCTGGCTCAGCCTTGGAAGCTCAGGTAAGCCAAAGGCTGGGGTCTGGGGTGGAATCTTATTTCTTTAACTGCTGCCTTACGCAGCACTGACCTTGGAAGGTCCCCTAAAAGTCCTTGATCTCTCCAGGGGCGATTTTAGAAGAAGGGGGAAAACCCTCCCATCATAATGGGAATGGTGGCAAGATC